TTCCTTCCTTCCTTCCTTCCTTCCTTCCTTCCTTCCTTCCTTCCTCCTTCCTTCCTTCCTTCCTTCCTTCCTTCCTTCCTTCCTTCCTTCCTTCCTTCCTTCCTTTTCAGGGGTTAGAATGCAGTATTGCAGGCTAACTCTGCCTATACACAATCAGAAGGTTGAGCCTCATCGACTCAAGGTTGACTCAGCCTTCCATCCTTCAAAAGTCAGTAAAATGAGGACCCAGATTGTTGGGGTCAAATGTGCTGACTCTGTAAACTGCTTAGAGAAGGCTGGAAAGCACTGTGAAGTGGGATATAAATCTAAGTGCTATTGCTATAAATTGTGGCAGTGACTAAGCAAGTCACCAAATGACCATACTCAATTTTAGGACAGATAACAGATAAAAGATAATCAAAGTTGGAAGGGATCTTATATGCCATCTAGTCCAACCCCCTGCCCAAGCAGGAGACCCTACACCATTTCTGACAAAGGGCAGTCCAATCTCTTCTTGAAAGTCTCCAGTGACGATGTTCCCACAACTTCCAAAGGCAACTTCTGTTCCATTGGTGGATTGTTCTCACTGTCAGAAAGTTTCTCCTTATTTGCAGGTTGAATCTCTCCTTGTTCAGTTTCCACCCATTGTTCCTTGTCTGGCCTACAGGCGCTTTAGAAAACAGCTTGACCCCCTCCTCCTCTCTGTGGCAGCCCCTCAAATATTGGAACACTGCTATCCCGTCTCCCCTGGTCCTTCTCTTCACTAGACTAGCCATGCCCAGGACCCCTTTTCTGGCAGTTGTTAAGCAAACCCAGTGGTCATTAAACAACTTTACTTTCTCCAGCGGGCACTTTTTAGCTGAAAACCAGAAGTAAAGTTTGGAAAGCAGCAAAAAAATGCCAAAAATCATGACCGTAGAACATTGCAAATGGGTCTAAATGTGAGCCGGTTGCCACACAATATCGATTGCCAAGCACCCAAAGGGGGCAAGGTGTGGCTGTTGAGAATGTCAGTAAAGGGTTATAAGTAGCTTCGGGGAGGTTCGATGTAACTTCAACAGTCGCTACTTGTACGTCACCCCATTTTCCAATTTTGCACATTACGCTGAATCCTCAGCGAACAGAACTGAACCAAGGTTAAAACAAGCTAACATCCCCCACAATATTGGCTGGGTGGGGAGGAAGAAACAAGTTTTGCTTGTCTGGTCAGAAGCAGGGGGTGGGATTCTACCGGTTCAGACCGGTTCTATAGAACCGGTTGTTACGATTCTGTGCAGTTTGGAGAACCTGCAAATCGTGGCCCTGGATGGCCCCATCCCTCTCCACCCACCCCTCCCCGCCCAGTCAGTTGTTATCGCGCATGCCTGACATCACTGACTGCATTCTCCCCCGTCCAGTCACTCCTTAAGGTATTTCTTTTTTCCCCCTCCCAACGATCAGCTGTTCCGACAATCAGCTGTTCCGACGATCAGCTGTTCCGACAATCAGCTGTTCCAAGATCCCCCTGAAACCCAGAAGGCAAAAGGCGCATGTGGGGTGTGTGTGTGTGTGTGTGCTGTGCACCCTCGCTCAGTTTTTTGCCTTCCTGGGCCTCAGGGAAGCCGTCTAGGAGCAAAAACGCCCACCCAGGAGGCTTCCCTGAGGCCCAGGAGGCCAAAAAATGGAGGGGGTGCTGCAAAAAAAAAGAGAGAGAAGAAGCCACGCCCATCCAGCCACATGGCCACGCCCACCTAGCCTCGCCCACAGAACCGGTTGTTAAAAAATTTGAATCCCACCCCTGGTTAGAAGATGTCAAGAACCGTCTGTTTCCTTGCAGGAGTGTAAAATCCAGAATTCCAGTCGGGAATACTGCAAGATCTTTGCCGCGGAGACAAGAGTCATTGCTGACTTTGGATCAGTACCTGAGTAAGTTGTTTCTTTCTAGGGCTGTGAACGGCCTGGTTAAATCTTCATAGGTTTGCAGGTCGTCTTAGACTTCTGACCATAACTGAGCCAGGAAATTATGGTTGTAAGTCAGGTCGGTCATTAAGCTGGTCACCACATGGCTACACCTGATTTTATGCACTTTTTCATGGTGGTTGTTCAGCAAATGCTGCGGTTGTTAAATGAGTTCGTTTTCCACAATGGGTTTTTTTTGTGGGGGTGGGGGGGTCAAAAATCAGCAGTAAATTCTGGAAACTGGCAAAGAAAACACTGAAAATCACAGTCCCGTGACCACCGAATGCGGCAAATAGCCACAGAAAATGCGAGGCAGTTGATAAGGGTCCACAATGCATTCATGGGACTGCAGGAGTTGGAGGCTGCAGCTTTTGGACTGGGCCATAAGTAGCGGTGGGGAGGAGCGGTGCCGTGGCCTAGAGGCGGAGCTCTCGCCTCACAATCAGGAGGCTGTGAGTTCGATCCAAGATAGAGGCAGATATTTCTCTGTCTGGGCGCACTGGGAAGAGATCTGCTGAACAAAACTCCGCATTGGTGACAGGAAGGGCATCGGGCCATTAAAACACTCTGCTAGCTCCAATTTGGTTGCCCAGACTCCACCCTCAAGGGATTATGAGGTCGTTAAATGAAGAAGGTCATGATGATAAATAACTCTGTTGTCACTTTGACTGGTCTAGGGGGAGGTTTCATGAATGACCCAAATTTGGCGGTGTAGAGAGAAAGAACATCCTGATTGTAGTCAAATATATTTTGCATTACAGACCTCAGCTTGCTCCAGAATGACTAATTTTTAAATGTCCAAGAACTCTTGACTGGTGACCCAACTTCTATCTTAATTGACCCAACTTCTGTCCTAATTGGGAGACAATGGCCACATCTGACGTGTCAACCCAAGTAGCTGAAGTTCCCTTTGAACTTCTGAAGTAGCTCTTTTTCTTTGATGCAGGATAATCCCACTTTACCTCATCTATCGCCCAGCCAACAATATTCCTTATGCAACCATGGAGGAAGACTTGCCTGGCTCGTTTCAGTGCTACTGTGGACGAGAAGGAGGTGGCAACCGGTTGGCTCCACCCAACCTCTCTGAGATTGGCCAAAAATGCTCCGCTTTCCAGCACTGGCTTTACCAGTGGACAAATGGCAATATCTTGGTGACAGACTTGGAAGGTGAGGCTCTTGTGTGGGCCACAAGATTGCACCGTCTAAAGTTTTAGGAGAAGGCCTTGCGGGAAGCAGGTCAGATTGTGATGGCGAACCGATGGCATGCATGCCACAGGTGGCACGCAGAGTCATTTGTGCGGGCACGCAAGCCCCAGCCCAGTGGTGGGATTCAAACATTTTTACTACCAGTTCTGTGGGCATAAGTTGGTGAGCGTGGCCATGTGACTACCGTGTTTCTCATATAATAAGGCCGGGTCTTATTTTTTTTTTGAGCCCCGAAAAAATGGCTAGCCTGTCTTTTCAGGGGTGACTTAATTCCCCCCCCCTTGCATCTTTGGGCGGGCGGGCAGCGATGGCTTGGATGTTGACCTCGGCGTTGGTGGGGCACTTTGTATCAGGGTCAACGCAGGCAGCACCATATCCGGGTGTGCCACAAAAGTACTTCCTAACGGCAAGCCCCCCCACCATTCCCCCCACATTTCGCATGTTTTAATATAAGCCTTAATTTGGGAGGAGGGGCTTAATTTCATTTCATGCCTACCAAACATGCTGGGACTTCCTATTGGGGGGAGGCCATATTGTTGGAGAAACAGGGTAGGTGGGTGTGGCTTTATTATTTTTTTTGCTGCCCCCACCCATTTTGGGGAGCTTCCTAGCCTCAAAGGAGCCACTGGGGGAGGGGGCATTTTTGCTCCCCTAAGGCTCCTCTGGGGCTCTGGAAGGCAAAAAATGGAGGTGTGGGGCCTGAGCTCCTCCCTCCATTTTTTTGCCTTCCTGGGCCTCAGCAAGGGGAATCCCGGCGCAGCTGATTGTATCTAACAGCTGATTATCGGAAAGGACAAAAAAGAAAGAAATATTTTAGGCGAATGTCAGGCGGGCGGGTAAGTGAGCATTGGGCGGGAGGGTGGCTGGATCGGGGGCGTGGCCAGCCAGAACTTATTACCGTTTCGGCGACCGACGCCAAATTCTTTGCTACCGGTTCGTCCGAACCGGTGCGAACCGGTTGAATACCACCACTGCCCCAGCCAAACTTACCTGCACTGCACATGCGCGCACCTCCCAGCTGATTTTTGGCCCATTTGAGGCCATTTTCACCCTCCTGGAGGCTGGAGGGAAGCCTCTGCAGCCTCCGGAGGCTGAAAAACAAGCCTTCCGGAAATACCGGAAGTGCCGAAACGGGCCCGTTTTTCGGCCTCCAAAGGCTGCAGAAGCTTCCCGGGAGGGCGAAAACGGCCTCCAACGGACCAAAGATAAGCTGGGACGCATGTGCATGCACAGTGCAGGTAAGGGGGTGGGAGTGTTGCACACGCCTGTGTGTGTGTGGGGGGGCAGGGGGCATTGCATTGTGAGTGTTGCATGCGCGTGGCTTTAGGCACACCGCAACAAAAAGGTTCGCCATCACTGCCATAGTTGGATAACGTTCCTCCTGATGTTCTGAGGCATGCTGGGAGTTGTAGGCCAGCAGCAACAGTGGGAGGAAGGTAGACCTTTGCACCTCTGCTGCAGATGAATGGCTTGAGGGTGGCTTCAGTGTGATGTGCTAAGGGTCAGCATGGCGTTGTTGCTGAACAAAACATGAAGCGTGTGGTGGACCTACCTTACGATTTCACCAGAGCTTTTCTTGCAGGGGTTGGATGGAAAGTCACCAATGTGAAGATTGCTACCAAAACCAAGGGGTAAGTAACCACATTGGGTAGCTTTCAATCCAGGCTGGATAACTGGGTTCTACCAGAGTGAGCCAAGGCTAGAGCAAGGGGTTGGGCTAGAAGACCTCCAAGATCCCTTCCAGCCCCATGATTCTATATTTTTGGCACATAAAGGAATCTGCTAATATCATTAACTAGGCAGTTTCTATCTACCTGCCAAATAATAAGCAGCTTCAGCACCTTATTATTCAACTCTCAGTGTATCTCAGGGCATCATCCTTCCATAATAGCTCCCTTCTAGGATGAAACCATGATCATAATGTCTTGCTGTATCTGACTTCAGTGCAGTTCATACTCCTGAACTGGGAATCCATGAAATCTTTGTCCCTCATGGCTTAGCAAAAGACTAAACTCTTGTTAAACTCATGCTAAACTCCTGTACAATCCAGACCAGAAGATTCTGATGGGATGTGGGCATTTAAACCTTGATTAGTCACCCACAGGTCTCCTGTGTTGACCTGAATCCAGATCCATCCTCTGGAATTTTCTACGGTGCTTATTAACACAGAGGCTGTCTCTCAGATGCCAGCTAATCTATCTATATAAAAGCAAAATACCCCTCACGTATCATCACAAAATCTCCAGAACCGTAAAGCCTACAAATTTGAAATTGGGCCCGTATGTTCCTCTTGGCTTCTAGGTGCTCACTAAGAAAGGATTTTTCAAAATGTCCATCGGAGCATCATCATTATTATTATTATTAACACGCTCTGATGCTAAGGAGTTCTACTCCCCCTCCTCACCTGAAAAGAAATCTGTTCCAAATGCAAAACACAAGCAGAGGAGATGAGTTTCAGTTTCAGTTTTAGTTTCACAGCACCAAGCAGCTTTAGTACAGAACAGTTGAGCTGAGCCACGTCAGGCTCTTTGCTGTCTCCTTCTTGCTCACGCAGCAAATCCTGTTTCAGTTTCCAAACAGCCCTCAACTCTCTCACACACCGACAGGACGCTAGCCAGAGGAATACCGATGGATGCTGGTAGGCCGAGGCAGAATTTTTTCCCCTTATTTTCCTCCCCCCAAACTAAGCCTGACCACATTGTTTCGTAGCGAAGCATGGGTATCCAACTGGTCCATGAATAGATAGAAGACCAGGGAGAAGCATCAGTGAATCCCATAATTTACGAGCACGTCGAAGATGGATGGGGAATTTACCTTGGGGTGTAACCTTCTTTCTCCGACAGGTACCAAGGCCTGAAGGAGAGCTGTTACCCCAACCTCCTCAATCACTTCGTGACCTCCCATCAATGCAACCGTTACTGTGAGCTCCTTGCTCTCAAGAGCCTTGAGGTTCCTCAACCACCCCCGAGAAGCAAAGGTTCCCGGAGCCCCAACGTGGGCAGGAAATCCTCGTCAGCCCAATCCAGCCCTCAGCTCCAGAAGAAAGGCCTCTCTAGTCCCCAGGCTTCCAGAAAAGGGTCTGTAAGCCCCAAGAATGCCCGGAAAGGTCCAGAACACGTGGCGGAATCACAATCGACGGCATGGCCCAAAGGAAGAGACGGCGACAAGATAGGACAGCTGCAGTGACGGGCAGTGGGGGCCATCAGCCCCACACCTTGTGTGTGCCTGAGGAAGGGGACGGGATGTCTTTGTCCCCCTGTGGCTCCCCCCACTCCTTTCCAAGTGTGAGGTCTGTGTGTGGTGTTTGATGGAATGAGCCATGCTCTCTGGGCAGGTTTGAAACCCCCTCAGGAACGATGTGTGAATGCAACCGTGTGCTCACTACCGAACCTGCGAGAGAGTCCCATCTCCAGAGTCCCATCACATGAGCCTGGCCCTCTGTGGTCCTGTTTCTCCTTGGTGCTTGGGCCGCGCTTTGAATATTGAGCCTCTCTTTGGGTTCCCAATAGGTTTGAAGTCCAAGATGGGGTCTGGACGCCAGGTGGCTGGGCTGTAACACAGGACTCACGCCCTTGACTGCAATGCCCTACCAACGACCCAACGCTTTCTGCTTTTCCCATGACGGAGTGGGCCAACCACCACCCCAGTCAAGACTCTTGAGAATGAACTTGGGCCCAAGGCTCTCTTCCCGCCCACGCCCAAAAGACCGCCTAGGAGAAAAGAGTTGACTTCTTCCTTCTCCTCGGCTGCTTCCTTGATGGGACTCCATGTGACGTGGCTGCGACGGTATCTCCTTGCAGTGTTTGGGGACAATTCAAGCGTCCAACATGTCACGGGAGGACATTTGGTCCATCGATTGAGGCTGCTGTGATGAACGGAAGATTAAACCCTTCTTGCTCGACTACCCTTCCTGTTCCATCCACTCCTGGTGCACATATTTTGCACACCGAAACCTCTGGTTTCAGTTAAGGTTTTGATCTCCCATCAAGAGATCAAAGAATAAGGGACACGTTGCTGTCAGAGACTCCGGGACATGAATATTCAAAGCAGATCTGTTATATTTCTTACCTGTGAATGATCACAGATAGCTCGCATTCACATCACGGGCTGAACTTGGTTACTGAACTGATGTTTTTTTTTTTTTTTTTTTGCTGGATTCACATCATACACGGACCTGTAAGTTAACCAAAGAAGCTGGATTCACACACCAAACTCCCCCCCCCCACTTAAAGAGAAACTGGCTTAACCGGAACCAAGTTCAGCCTGTATGAATGCAGTTCCTAAATTTACAGCTGACAAGGATATTGTATGAACATAGCTATAAGTGTGCTGTCTGGGTTGCAGTCTTCCTCAGTCTAACTTCTTCTAGATGTGTTGGGATTAGCCAGGATTCAAAACCTTAGGAATTCTGGAAGTACAGATCTGTCACTCCTTGAGGTTGTAGAGTTAGGGAAGGCCTTTTAGATCCAAATCTCTCTCTCGAACAACATTCTCTTGGTTCACTTTATATATTTCGCTTTTTTCCAAATTTCCCCTTAGCAGATAAATGCAAGCTGTGTAGTAGTTGCCTTCAACCAGCAAGATTTGAAGCACCACCTACTGTCAAATAAATTGCCCTGTAGCTGTCTTTCCTCCAGAGCAGAGGTGGGTATTCAGCAGGTTCTGACCCGTTCTGAAGAACCAGTAGCGGAAATTTTGAGTAGTTTGGAGAACCGGCAAATACCACCTCTGACTGGCCCCGCCAACCCCATCTCTTCTCTGCCTCTCATTGAGTCCCATCTGATTGGCTGGGTCTTCTTTGGTTGCCCTGCACAGGAGAATGGAGCTGGAAAGCAGGTTTAGTGGGGTGGGGAGGGAATGGGGATTTTACAGTATCCCTCTCCTGTCTTGTCCACCAAGCCATGCTACGCCCACCAAGCCACACCCACAGAACAGTTCATAATATTTTTTTTAAATCACACCACTGCTCCAGAGCTCAATTGAATTACATGTAGGATGGAGATGTCACTCAGCAAGAAGATTCTGGAACATAGGTGCTGTCCCTTCACCAAAGACTACTGTACAAACCATCACAATCTGGAGACCTATCACTTGTGAATAAACCTCTATTGTCTTCCATCATATCCTTAGACAGAGAACACCTTAGGAACCCCAAAGGAACCCCCCAAAACGATGTAAGCAGCAGGGAGGGGTGAGCAACATCTAGGTTTAATGGGTGGTCCTTCTAAAGCGTTTTCTTCCTGCGCCATTCAATTGGAAAACAATTCATTATAAATATTACCGGCTTGATATTAGTGCTTGAGTTGCCCAAAGTGAAAGAAGGGAGCTGAGTTCCCCTTGCGGACTCTTCCCCAGGGTGGGTCATCCAACGAACCATGTAGAACCTCATTTGATGTATCGGAACTTCTGCTGAAGCTGTGATGTTGAAGTGGCAGGGCCAAAACTTGTCTTCAAAGCTCCTTTGAAGGTGCAGGCATGAAGTTGCATGCCCTCCAGGGGTGGGATTCTACAGGCTCGCATCCATTCGCTAGAACCGGTTGTTAACATTCTGAGCAGTTCGGAGAACCGGTTGTTAGAAGAAATTGCAGGGCTAATCCTGCAAGGAAGGCAGGAAGGAAACATTCTGGTGTTGCTTACAGAAACTGCCTCTCCATTAACCCTTATTACATTCTTGGCAGGACTAGACTTCCTGTCTCAGGAACTTCTCTGGAGTTTTTCTTCCCCTCCTTTGCTGATACTTTGCTTGTGTGGAGTGACCATTCAAAGTTACAATGGCACTGAAAAAAAAGTGACTTATGACCATTTTTCACACTTATGACTGTTGCAGCATCCCCACAGTTATGAGAGGCCAGGCGAGGAGATGCCTGCCTCGATGTGAGTGATGTTGAACTGGCCACGCCCAGCCAGTCACATGACCACCAAGCCACGCCCACCAACTAAGCCACACCCATAAAACCGGTTGTTAAAAAAATTTGAATCCCACCCCTGATGCCCTTCTATAGGGTTTACAAGAATACAGGGAGAAATTGGGACTGATTGGGTTGTGTAATGTTGACTCAAAATAAAAATAAAAATAATAATAAACAACCTGGGGTTCAGTAGTTACTGAATAAAGCGAAACAGGATGTCACTTGTCTGTGGAAGCAGCTGAGATCTTCTCTGAATTTTATGTACTGTACGCGCATTTCTCTGTCGAAATGTGGCTGATTGCCAAGACTTTGGTAAGCGTAGACTTGAGAACATGGTTTCTTGGAAAACATGAATGAGGACATCGGTTTTATTTTCAAAACAAGTAATTCTGTCATCTGCAAGTTTGAGGGTTTTTTTTTTTCATTACTTAGGAAGAAACTCGGAGGTGAGTCGGGGTTTCCGGCTGAGTGTAAATCTCATTGAAATTCAGCGGGCTTATCTGTGGGTAGACGCAGGCATATAGTCACCTCTGCGACTGAAGAGCCAACAGAGTGAATGCAAAGAGATCAAAGGAAGGCTGGGTGAACTCCTGGGGTTCAACTGCATTTGGGTTCAATTGCCAAAAACACACACACACACACACAAAGAGTTGGCCCGGGCCATCCCTGCTTGAACCCTTTCTTGCATTGTCACAAAATCAAACCACTGGAAGGAGTGTTGTATTTGCACAATGGAGCACTTCGAACCAAAACAATGGAGGATGTTTTTCCATACATTACAGTGCAGCTTTTGAGCTCTTTGCATTCTTCATCGGCGTTGATAAAACTCTTTCCTTTTACAGTTGAAGGTGAAATGTTGCTCCTTGACCCTTTTTTTTAACCTGTCTCACACAATCCTGAGAACTGCCACCTCCCTCCTTTATTCATCTTCTACGTATTCATCGAATGGTTCTCTTCTGCTCCACCACCTCATTCTTCATCAGTTAAGGCCTGAGACATATGGAGGAGTTATAATAATTGCAGCATTTCTGGAGATAGGGCTGTGTTGCATTGGCATGTAGATTCTCCCAAGTGCCACCCAAGGAGAAAGAACTGTGGAAAAGAAAAGTTAAGAGGTTAGGGGGTTTAGTAACAATAGCACTTATTTATGGACCCATAGTACTTTACCGCAGGAGATTACAACCCTTGGGCCAGGGACCAGCACTGGTCTATGGCCTGTCTAGAATCCATGCAAAGCCCCATCTATGCATTTGCGGGATCCAGGCAGTGTGCAAAATCACACAAATGCACTGATCAAAAATCACACAAATGCACGGATCAAACCAGTCCACCAAGGTGTGTGTGTGTGTGGTGGGGGCTGCTCTGTTTCACAGCCTCACTGAGTGGTATTCCCAACAATCTGGGTCCTCGTTTTACCGACCTCAGAAGGATGGAAGGCTGAGTCAACCTTGAGCCGGTCAGGATCGAACTCTTGGCTGTGGGCAGAGCTAGCCTGCAATATTGCATTCTAACCACTGGGTCACCACGGCTTTCTGTATTCCCCATAATGTGATTCTCCAGCCTCTAATTTTCCATGGATAATGTTGACACAGGGAAGAGAAGAACCTGTCTTGCAGATCGTCTTACTTTTTTTTTTTTAAAGCAACAAATGTGATGTGGAAATCTGTTCAGCGCTCGATAGATTTGCAATATTTCTTTCTGGAAATTAAATGACCGGCCATAAGAGATGCCGAATCGTTCAAGCCACTATGAAGTTGAGTATCGATTTGCTGAGCTGTTGCGTGTGTGTGTGTGTGTGTTTTTTTTCCCAAGGCAAAAGGGTGCCATCTCATGGTCATTTTTTTAAAAAAGCATTTTTAAGGAAATGGAAGACCACATACACAACAGTCGAGGGATTTCTAGGGCTGCCTTGATGGCCAGGATTTCAAAAACACAGTTTTCAAACGTGGGAACCTCAAAGGCATCTTGGAAGCTCTTGATGATGTACTTTGCCAGCCAATGCAGAAGGAATCAGTTAATGCAGTGGTCCCCAACCTTTTTTGTACCAGGGACCGGTTTCAAGCAGAAAATTTTTGCAAGGACGGGGGGGGGGGGGGGGGGAGGGGGGGGGGCGTCGCCCGCCCCCCCCCCCCGCGCGGGGGGGGGGGGCTTTTCCTGTCGCCACAGCTATTCCGAAGCGCCCGTTTCACCCCCACCCCCACCCCGCCCGCCCCCGCGCGCGCGCTTCAATCCACAGTGTCCCGTTCTGCCTGCCTGCCTGCCTGCCTTAGTTTCTGGTTGTTTGGGAGCAGCTTCGGCTGAGAATAACTATTCGCCTCTTTTACTCAGCCGAAGCTGTTCCGATTCAACCATTAACGAAGGCAGGCAGGCAGGCAGAACGGAGCACTGGGTAAACCCCCCCCGCGCGCGTGCGGGCGGGCGGACGAGGTGGGGTTGGGGGTGGGGGAGAAACGGGTGCTTCGGAGGCGCTGCGGCGACAGGAAAAGCCCCCCCCCGCTTCTTTGAAGCAGTTTCTTCCTGCGCTGGTGGAAGAGCGAGAGAGCGACTGAGAGAGCTGACCCAGAGAGAAGGACAGGCTTTGGTTGCTTCCTCCCTCCCCTTCTTTCATTTGTGTCCTTGATCCCCGATCCCAGCAGCATTCACCTTCGGTGAATGCTGCTGGGATCGGGGATCAAGGACACAAAT